CAGACACTTTACGAGTTTATTCAGAGGACGGGACACGATTTGGGTCTGGATGGGTCTGAAGGTCGAGACATCTCTGGGAAAGTCTCATTGTTGGAGCTTAGGATACTCCCAGGACTGTCTGAGAGATGTTTATAACCTGTCCACAGGYACGGGACTGTCTGAGAGACGTTTACACTTGTCTACAGGTACGGGACTGTCTGAGAGACGTTTACACCTGTCCACAGGTACGGGATTGTCTGAGAGACTTTTATACCTGTCCACAGGACCAGGACTGTCTCAGAGACTTTTACACCTGTCCACAGGTATGGGACTGTCTCAGAGACTTTTATACCTGTCCACAGGTACGGGACTGTCTCAGAGTCTTTTACACCTGTCCACAGGTACGGGACTGTCTCAGAGACTTTTATACCTGTCCACAGGTACAGGACTGTCTCAGAGACTTTTACACCTGTCCACAGGTACGGGACTGTCTCAGAGACTTCTACACCTGTCCACAGGTACGGGACTGTCTCAGAGACTTTTATACCTGTCCACAGGTACAGGACTGTCTCAGAGACTTTTACACCTGTCCACAGGTACGGGACTGTCTCAGAGACTTTTATACCTGTCCACTGGTCTAGGACTGTCTCAGAGACTTTTACACCTGTCCATAGGTCTAGGACTGTCTCAGAGACTTTTACACCTGTCCACAGGTCTAGGACGGTCTCAGAGACTTTTACACCTGTCCACAGGTACGGGACTGTCTCAGAGACTTTTATACCTGTCCACAGGTCCAGGACTGTCTCAGAGACTTTTACATCTGTGTACAGGTTCAGGACTTTCTCTTAGACTACTGCACTTGTCCACTGGTCCAGGACTGTCTCAGAGACTTTTATACCTGTCCACAGGTCCAGGACTTTCTCTTAGGCTACGTTCACACTGCAGGCAAATCCGACCCAAATCCGATTTTTTTGACCCATCTGACTCATATCCGATTTTTTTATGACAATCTGAAAGAGACAAATCCGATTTTTTTGACCCATCTGACTCATATCCG